GGAGGGGGGGGGGGGGCTGGTGGTTGTTAATGTACTGCCAAATATTTTTATTCAAAATCAAAGCTGCCAGATAATCAATATCTGCAATAAAATTCAATATGCTAGAAAAAAAACCCAGAAAATTAATTTTATGGTCTCTATATATTAAGTTGAAGAGTTGTTTATCATGGTTGCAATAATTACAGCTTTCGAGTTTGTTTTGATGTTTATTTTGTTTTGTAGGGTTGATATGTCAATATTACCTTATAGGATGTTAAAAGCTTACAACAGCAAAAGTATTTTAAAATTAAATTCAAACCATTAATTTTACATAATTATATTTCACAGAATGTACTAAAACAGACGGCATGAAAGATGCACAAATAATACCCGATTCAAGTATCACTTCACCTACATCACCTAGTGTTGATGTAACTCAAATAAGAGATGGTGGTGCAGTTTTCCCTACTGGACAGCACCCAGAAATTGTAATAAATCTCAAACAACCATGTAAAATTGAAGTTGAAATAGGAAGTGTAACTGTTCCTGTATACAATATTGGTACAATTACTGTTATACCAATTGATTCTAATGGTAATGAAAAGTCTAGTGATATGGTAACTCAAGTAAGTTTTAACATGCACCATATTATATCATTTATACTTTTCTAATAACAGTATGATTGCATTTTGTTTGAGAGGATTATTACACTTTTTGGAACTGATTATTTACTAAATTATTTGATTGAATTATTACAGTTTGTTCCTGAAAATATAGCTAGTGTTACTTTCCCTGATGATGTTCGAGGTGCTAAGATTAAAATAGTATTAACTCCATCAGATTATTCTTTACCAATTACCACTAATGGTGCAATAGAAGTTAGAGGCTGTTTTGTATGTAAGTAAAATATTTATACTAAGTTCTGAAAATTAGAGTAAACTGCGCAACTTGGATTTTTGTATCTATTTTTATACTTCATATTGGCGTCCTTGTCTGTCGGTCCGTCCGTCCGTCCACATTTCTCGTAAACACTCTCACTCTAGAAGGCACAAGACTAAACTTGGTGAGATTGTTAGTAATCATCCGGGGATGAACCCTATTGAAAATGAAATAAGCCAAAATGTGTTTAGTATGAGTTATTGACCTTGTTCTAGAAAACGCGTTCAAATTTTTGCTCGTAAACTGTCTAGAAGGCACAAAACTTTAGAGATTTTGACGAAACTTGGTTAAAGTATGAACCTGGATTCTTTTGTCTACTTTCACTTTGAAAATCGCGCTAGATTATATTCTCCGTCCTCCTAGAGTATGATATTGTCCAAGGGAAGAAAGCTGCCATAATTAAAATTAGTCTCATTAAATTTTTGGGTAAAAAAATTATAATAAAGTTCTTGAGACCTATCTTATAATCTTGGTACATAAGTTAATGATTTTGGAATATAATTATAATTCTTGGTACATGATATGAATTTCTTGGTATTTGTAGGTCCTGTTTAAACGACTCCAGGTATGTTATCTCATAGTTCTTATTTTAACGTGTTTAAAAAGTATGTATGTCTTAACGTAGTTTTGCACAGTAGGGAATTTTCTCCCCATTTCGATAGCATCACAGATCACCAATCGTGAGTATTTTTGATCTTTGATTTACTGATGTTGGAAATTTCTTGTTCTTGTATTGTAAATAATATTTTCACATGTGTTGAGAAACAGGTTTTTTTATGTCTACTTTTTCTTCCAAAATGTTAGATTTATTCTCCTTCCTCCGAGAGTATGATATTTTCCAAATATGAAAACTGCTATAATTAAAAAAAAAACGAACGCCCTGCAAAAAAAAAAAAAAAAAAAAATTGTTCTATTTTTTCAAGAAAGATTTTCTATAAGGATCGAGTTAAAGAGTTCCATAAATAAGGGCCTTTATATTTCAAGCTATTCTTATATAATGGATTTATAAGGATTTAAAAATCAGATAAATCGAAAAATATTTAGTATGAGTTATTGCCCTTTTTTCAATTTTTTTTTTAGCTCAACATTTTTGAAGACACAATTCTCGATGTATTTTGGCGAATCTTGATGGAAGTGTTTGTAAACATCCAATCTTATTAAATATCATTAAATAAAAGCGAAAGAATTAATTGTGACTTTTTGCCCTTTTCGTTCAATTTTAAGCTCGTAAACTATGGCGGCGGAAAGCGACAAAAACTTAATGCTATGCAGAAATGTCTAATTCAAAACACAAATGTAATATAATGCAATAACAAATACCTAAAACGTCTTATGCAAAAGATAAAATACAAGAAACCTCTGATACAAAATACCTTATAAGTTAAATGCAAAAGACATTATACAAGAAACCTCTATGCACAATTGATTATACATCGTGAAACATCTACCATAAGCGTTAGACGACATATCTCGTTTGCATTACCTACATTTCTTCACTGTAATATCTTTATTTAGGTCAATGTCAAGGTCGAAGTATTTTTTTTAATGTATACAATAATTTCTCCCAAACTAAGGGGGATAACTCTAGCGTACCGGTATTGACTCACTCCACTAATTCATTTGCCATGTTAAAACACGAAATTCAACCTTCTGCAACTTTTTCCAGAAATCTTTCCAATATGTCGAATGAAAGCCTGACCAATTCTCAATATTTCCACTATCACTGTATTTGTCACAGTGAACCCTTTGACAAGAAATGCATTCAAATTCGCGTAAACTGCAGTGGGTCACGTGGTCACATTTCTGAGCAATATGGCTGCTGTTGAGGCCCTATTTTTGTAGCGGCAATCTTTTTGAAATAAAATTTATCAATCGGAAACTTTATGAAAAGAATACATTAGACAGTGGAAATATAAGCAATGAACGATGGATCCACTGCAGTTACGGTGATATGAATACATTGGTCAAGGTGCCAAATTCATCATGACTGCCTTCTGCAGCTCATTCAATTTGGCACCTTGTCCAATGTATTCATATCACCGTAACTGCAGTGGAATTAGCTTTCCGCCTTTAGGTCTCTCATCATCTCACCAAATCTTAAAGATAATGTCATTTCAGACATCAAATTGCAAATCTAGACCAACAATTACCCTAAAATAGGCATGCTAAAACCCCAAAAGAAAGAGAGAAAGAAGATTTCTAAAAATTACAAATCTAGCTCTCAAACGTGAAAGTATGCAATCCATTGATTATGTAGCAAGAGAATTAGATATGGTGTCTGGTATCTTGTCAGAGTTATCGGTGGAGTTTGAAGACCCTCAAATAGACATGCCATGCAATGTTTGTCTTCTGCATCTGATCTTGTGGATATTATCCTTAAACAATTGGAAGACAAGGAAGACGGGCAGGCCAAAGACTGAAATACCTTCGAGCCAGCTGGGTTGAGTTTCAAGCAGAAAGATATTGCCGAACTTTTTGGAATTAGCGTCAGAACCTTGAGGACAAGGCTTGCGGAATATGGCATCCAATATGGAAATTCAGTACAATATCTGATGAAGAACTGGATGTAAATATTGAGCAGATTTTAATAAACCGTCCAGATGTTGGTTATAGATCTGTGAGGGCGCACTTACTTGGTGATAAAGAAAACGTCCAAGAAATAAGAGTTCGTGAATCTGTGAGGAGAGTGGATTTAGAAGGGTGTATATTGAGGCGTCTTACTATTTTGAAACCAAGTGAGATACAGCATCCCGGTTTGTGGCGCCATGTAGCGCCACGAGTTGGCTACCCACCCACCAAAGCGCAACTCTCTCGCATGTACGGTTTGCCTACTGTAGAGGTTTTAGTTTGACCTATGAAAACCGAAAAAATCGACCAAA